GGAGCCGGGATCTGCCCTCAGCACACCAGAGTGATGGGGCGCAGGGGATATGGGTTCTACCAAAATGGGGGAGGAGGATCTTGGCAAGCTCCTGCTGTTATTACAGGGCTGCGATTCTGGTCTCCAGCAGGAACCTATATTCTGTAAAACCGAGAGAAAGGAGCTGGGTAATCCCTGGGGGATCCTTTGTTACACTAATGCCCTTTCACAGCATAAGGAATGTCCCCAGCTGGTGACAGCTCTCCAGCTAGGGTGAATCAGTGCAAGGACTTTGATGTCTGGGAGGAAATAACACTTCTTCCTCCAAGCATCTGCCCAAGCCCCAGGATGTGCTCTGCACCCAGACTGGAGGGACAGCTTGCTAGGACGGGAGAGGAGGGTGAAGTGTGCCTGGGGAAGGGCATCTGGGGGCTGGGTGGGAAGAGGGGAGATCCTGGGGCTGGGTGGGAGCAAGCTGAGGCTGCAGAGCGAGCTGGGGCAGGGGTTGGGGACCTCACCCTGGGAAAAGGGAGGAATTACTAAGGGGTTGGGGGAGGTGACTGGAGGAGGTGGAATTGCCCTGGACAGAGGTGCCTGGTGCCGTACTGACACGAGAAGTGGGCAAGGACATGCACCCAATGGGGCTGTGTCATGGGCCTTGGGGCAGGAGCAGGCTCTGGAGGAGAGGCTGGGCCGTGTGGGGCGAGGGCTGCACTGCACTGCACAGCAGCTGACCCACAGGAGCCATTTTGCACGCGTGGGCTCCCAGCCCCTCCTCTGCCTCGCAGCCCCCTCCTTGGGCACAGTGCCAGCGAGCGAGGACGGCGGGTGGCTGAGCCCCATGCTGGGACCGTGGGGCTGTGAGAACCCCTGCTTGGTGTGACAGCGTGGCCACCCCCAGCACCCCCAGCCCCCTCTGCATCCCATCTTAGCTGTCCCCCCGCTCACGTAGGGATGTGCCAGTGCCTGCAACCCTGCACCTGCGCGGGGCAGCGGGGGTTTGCCGTGGGGACAAGGCCTAGAGGTGACAGGGACACAGGCATCCATCGGCTGGGCTCCTTAAATGGAGCCTCGGCTCTGCGAGGGACCCCTCTGAGCCTTCTCCCTGTTCCCTGCCCGGCAACGGGTATCCGTTACAGCCCGCGCTGCACTTCCCACCCGGCTCTGCCAGCAGCCCCGGGGGTGTCTCCAGCTCCACACTGGGAAGCTGAGCTGGGAACGTGCCAGCTCTGTTCCTCTGCTGTGCACCTCTGGCCCCTGCAGCTCCCCCCTCCCCGGCTGTGTGTGCCTGGGCGCTTACACGCATTTATGAGTGCGTGTTAGTGCAGGTGTTCATACAATTTGTGTGCGTGTTTGTCCCTGTGCGTGGGTCCTTGTTCATGCCTGTGGGTATGTGGGAGGTGGGGGTGGGTTTGTACCTGCCCGTCTGTCCACCTAATGGCCCCGACCGGGGGGAATGGGGCTGGTTATCTGGGCTTGGAACCCAGAGCACATGCAGGGGAGACAGAGGGGCCAGGCCAGAGGCTGCCCAGGGCATCCAGGGCACCCAGACTGCACCCACCACCGCTGCAGAGTCGGGCTGGTCCCTCGTGTGCGCTCTGAATGACACACACAGACGGGCGGGAGGAGCACACGGTGCCTGTGTGCACAGGCATGCATGCACACCACGCTCTGCGTGCGTGCCTACGGCTCCACGTCCCTGCGAGAGTGTGCACACTGCGGCTATGTGTCTGCAATCTCTGTCACTGTGTCTGTGTCTCGTGTGGCAGCGGGTGTGCTGCTGCACACGTGTGCTGCTGCAGGGGCCGTGGTGCGATGGGTGTGCTGCACAGTTCCATGTATGTCCTGGGGGGGTGTGCAGGGTGTGTGGGGGTGTGTGTGTGTGTGTGTACACTGTGGGTGCGTGTGCTGGTAGTGCACACAGTGTGTGTGTTTGTGTGGCAGCATGCGTGTGTGTTCCTGGTGCAGCCTGTGCTCAACCGTGCACATGGATGCATGTGGCCCAGCGTGTGTGCGCTGGTGTGTTTGCACACTGGTATGAGCGTAGACCCGCAGCGTTCTACGTGGGCCCATGTTTGCACGGCAATGCACGTGTGCCCACGGGCATTCCCACAGCGATACGTGAGTGCGCAGTGCGTGTGCGTGCGTGGTGCTGCCCATGCCCACTCCTGCCCACGGGGTGCGGCTGCCCACGTGTGCCCGCAGCATGTGCACACGTAGCTCTGCGTGTGCCCGCCTGCAGCCCTGGTGCATGTTCATGCATGTTGCTCTCCACAAACATGGTGTTGGGTGGGCACGTCTGCACACTCGCTGCGTGTGTGTGAGCTTGTGTGCTCCCCAGGGTGTGTGTGGGTGTCTGTGTGCATCCCAGGGAGTGTGCGTGTGTGAGCCCGTGTGCACCCCGGAGTGTGTGTAGGGTGCCCATGTATGCCTCGGGGTGTGTGCAGGTGCCCATGTGCATCCCAGGGAGCATGTGGGTGCCTGTGTGCACCCCGGGGTGCGGGTGTGAGTCTGTATGTGCCCCAGTGTGTGTGCAGGGTGCCCATGTGTGCCCCGAGGGGTGTGTGTGTGAGCCTGTGTGCAGCCTGGGGTGTGTGCGGGTGCCCATGTGCGCCCCGGGGTGTGTGCGGGTGCCCGTGCGGCGGAGCGTGCAGCCCGGCCGCGCTTACATAAAGGCTGCAATGCGGGCAGTGGCTCCCCGGGGCAGGACCCCGCTCGCCGCCGCGGTCTGCCC